ACTTTGCATTTTATTCATACTAATTTATAAAAATTGGATTATATTCTGATAGACTTTTATTTGGGTTTATATTTTGATTAAATTGCTTTCATTGCTATCAGATGAAAGTATTACTTTTACAGATCAGGGATAGAGGCAAAGAGCTCAACTAGAAGCATCCTAATTTAAGGTACCATTTGCAAGACAGCTAACACCTGCTTTTTCAGATTAGGTAGTACTGCATAATGCTTTGAATGTTCAAAGTGCAAGGAACTGTAAATTAATTACTAAAAATGGAAAATGAAACATGGTATTTTAAAATGAAAAGCAGTTCTACCCTGACAGCCTTTGAAACCTATAATTTTCTTTCAGACTGAAAATATAAAATTGACAAGGTCTTAAAAATGAAGATTTCTAAAATGTCTTTTTTGGTGAGATGATATCATTTTGCCATAAGCCTTCTAAACTGGTATTAATCTGATGATGGCTGAATGATGAGTGTTGCTGTGGGTTTTTCCACTTGGCTGTTTTGTATAAATTTTGTCTGGACTTTCAGTAAGCAGTATTGTCATCTGCTGCCACACCGGCCATATCAGCTTTTAAAAGCAATTTCCTATGGTAGTTTTTAAAATGTGTTTTTAAAGAAGACTAGAAACAGAGTAAACTACTTCTGATATCAAGGTAACACTATGGTCCTAGGTTGTGATTATGGATGAGAGATGACAAGTTCTCACTTCAAATGCATTTTATGTTTATGCTTAGATATTTGTGTACTTCAGAACCACATCAATTCAATCTTATATAGTACTTTAGCATAACTTCTTCAATATCTGTGACTTGCAGGAAAGATCCAGCAGTCTTGAAACTAGCTGCAAGATATAGGTCTGATGTGAGCTGAGCACAGTGATTTAGATGACTCGTGCAGTGAGAGCTAGGTGAGAAAAAAAAGATAACTTTAAAATTGAAGTATGGGTCCATTATTTTCCTCACACCCCCTCTTGCTATTAACATATTTAAAAAAGCCTTTCAAGAGACTCTTTCAAAATGGGGGTGGGGTGGTAGGGAAGAAGGAGGAGGAGGGAGCTGAATATTTGCTTGTTCTGTTTTGCTTTTTGTCATGGTTTAATCCAAGCCAGCAATTAAGCACCACACAGCTGCTCACTCACTTTCCCCCTCCACCCAATGGGATGGGGGAGAAAACTTGGAAAAGAAGTAAAACTCATGAGTTGAGATAAGAACAGTTTAATACAACAAAAAAAGAAGAAACTTATAATTATAATGATAACACTAATAAAATGACAACAGTAATAATAAAAGGACTGGAATGTACAAATGATGCACAGTGCAACTGCTCACCACCTGCCAATCGACAATCAATTAGTTAGTCCCCGAGCAGTGATTTCCGCCCCCCCCCCCGCCTCCTCCCAGTTCCTATACTAGATGTGACATCCCATGGTATGGAATACCCAGTTGGCCACTTTGGGTCAGCTGCCCTGGCCACGTCCTGTGCCAACTTCTTGTGCCCCTCCAGCTCTCTCGCTGGCTGGGCTTGAGAAGCTGAAAAATCCTTTAGACTAAACACTACTTAGCAACAACTGAAAACATCAGTGTTATCAACATTCTTCAGATACTGAACTCAAAACATAGCACTGTACCAGCTACTAGGAAGACAATTAACTCTATCCCAGCTGAAACCAGGACACTTTTAAAAGAGGTTTCTGCAGTCAAAAAAATCCCTGTTTGGGGGACTGCTTTGCTCTGACAGAGGAAAAGTGGTAAAAGCCAAAAAAGCTATTCAGGTTCAATTCTGCCATCATTCGATAGTTGGCTGGTGTTAATTTGATCTTTCCCTCAAAACTGAGAAGCAAACTGGAAAAAAAAAAAAACAACAAAAGACCAAAACTCAAATAAACAAAAACCCCCAGAGGGGTGGGAGGGGAATTCAAAGGTAGCATGTTTTGGTAGATATGTGTCATGGTTTCAGCCCAGCCGGTAACAAAGGACCACGCAGCCACTCGCTCGCTCACTCCTCCCGCCCCCCCCGCCCCCCGTCCGGTGGGATAGGGAGGAGACGGAGGAGAGAAAAGTGAAAAAAAAACCAAAACAAACCGCAACCTCGGGTGTTGAGATAAGGGCAGTTTACTGGGACAACACACGCACACACGCACAAAAAAAAAAGAAGAGAAGTTACAACAACAACAATGAAAGAATATACAAAAGGAGTGATGCACAGTGCAACTGCTCACACCCGGAACCCGACGCTCCGCCACTTCCCCCACCAAAAGTCAAGAGAGCTCCCCCCGGCCCGCTCCCCATTTATATACTGAGCATGATGTCACATGGTATGGAATAGCTGCTGGGCTAGTTCAGGTCAGCTGCCCCGGCTATGCCCCCCACCTCCCAGGTTCCTGTAAAAATTAACTCTATCCCAGCTGAACCCAGGACAATATGTTATAAACAGATTTCAGAGTCCAATACTCTCTGACTAGGTTCTTTTAGATAGTTCTAGCTGTCGAGGGTGTAATGTTTAATATCCTTGTTCATAGATAGTTGATGTTACACAGGATTTCTGATTTAGCAGAGTGATACAAAAAATATATTGCATAACACAATACAGATGTAAGAAACTGTCATAGCCGTCAAAACAAAGGCAACCCTCCGTTCCCTTCTGTGTTGGCATAAAGTCAGCTGCTTTACAACAGCTGTGGTCAGTCACACCCTGCATTATTCCCTGAGCTTCATGGGCACATTGTGCTTGCCCATCTCCTCTGAGCCTTCTTCCACGGTAGGGTTTTACTGGTGGATCACAGCAGAAATGAATATTTTTTTCTTCTTTAATGCTTTCTCTACTAAGCTAGACCAGCTGTTGCATTTTGAGTTTTAATCAGCAAGAATAGTAAAGATACTATTAAAAATACCAGAATTCAGGAAAAGATAGAAAATCATGACTGTTGTTCAGGAAAGTGATGCAATATTCAAAAGAAAAGAAAAACATGGAAATGCATGCATAATATGGGGCAAAGTTCCTGAAGTTAAAGAATGATAAAAATGCACTGCAATGTTCTTTACCTGACAACTATTTGTGGGGCAAATGGATATGAGTAGCTTTCAGAAAGCTAGGATACTTGGTAATTGTAGTATCTATATCTACCTTCTTGCTTCCTCTAGCTAAATAACACTGCCTTCCTATGTCTATCCAATCTGGGAAATAGTCACCAGTTATTTGGTAAACATTATGATGTAAAAATACTTAAGATAAACAGAGCTGAGAAAGAAGTGAAGCAGATAACATTTAGGATTTTAAGCACAAAAATGATATTTTTCTGCATGAATTTTCAGCTATGAATTATCTTCTCTATTCAACTAGTCCAAGTGCTTTGGGACATGATAAAAATATGATCTTATATATATACATATATGATTATATCATCAGACATAAACCTAATAAAATCTGTAGTTTATGAAAAAAAAATTATTGGTTCTAATTAATTATTTTTAAAAGGACATCCAAAAACTTGATCTTTTGTAACAAGAGTAGTTTAAAAAGCTACCAGAGTAAATAGAATAGAATAGAATAGAATAGAAGAATATTTCAGTTGGAAGGGACCTAAAATGACCATCTAGTCCAACTGCTTGACCGCTGCAGGGCTGACCCAAAGTTAAAACATGTTATTAAGGACATTGTCCAAATGCCTACTAAACACTGACAGGCTTGGGGCATCGACCACCTCTCTAGGAAGCCTGATGCAGTGTTTGACCACCTCTTGGTAAAGAAATGCTTCCTAATGCCAAGTCTGAACCTCCCCTGGTGCAGCTTTGAGCCATTCCTAGACACCCTGTCACTGGATACCAAGGAGAAGAGATCAGCATGTCCCTCTCCACTTCCCCTCCTCAGGAAGATGCAGAGAGCAATGAGGCCACCCCTCAGCCTCCTTTTCTCCAAACTAGACAACCTAAGTCCTCAGCCGCTCCTCACAGGACATGCCTTCCAGCCCTGCCACCAGCTTGGTCGCCCTCCTCTGGATGCATTCAAGAGCCTTAATTTTGTTTTTAAATTGTGGGGTCCAGAACTGACATTCAGACACTAAGGTCTTAGTCCAAATATCAAGAAAATCAGTACACATAGTAGCCACAAGTGATACGTTTCACTTAAGATTTAGTTTCATGAGAAAACTGAAACCCCATAAATAACCTGCAACTGGAAGGGTGAGTCTGCTCCCTAGATCTCCATGCTTGATCTGAAGATCTGCTCTTTGCCTTGAGATGACTCAAATTTCTTGGATCGTAAGTGTTCATACTCACTGATACTTAGTGGCCCATTGAAAGAGCAGAAAGGTAATCTACCCAAAGAAAATGAATATTCTTTGTGCTGGGTTGGTAAGTTGAACTTGTTGCCCTTGTGATTGAGGGATCTGGTGTAAGGAAGAAAAATGAATCATTCAATCTGTGGATCAGGGAAGAAGGCAGCAGTAGTAGAGGCAGGAGATGTGGGGAATGGAAAAGGAAATATGGCAGAACAATGTCTTTCTTTTTCCTACAGCTGAAATCTTGAGCACTACTTTTTCAAATGAATCTTATGTTTGAATGGTTGAGAGGGGTGAGGGGAAGTAAACCAGAGAAAAATGTGATAATGAAATTTTCAGCCCAGACAATTTGGTAATGTAAGCTGCAGTAAATACAAACTTACAAAGAGAGGATAAAGATTGCTTTTAAGTAAAACAATATTTGGAACAGTGTTCCAGGCTGAGGTCTCCATTTCCACAGTAAGACATTCTCATCCTTAGTGATATTTAAGCATTATTAATTTTAGTTGTGTACATGTCACTATTTATTCTATGAGTTTCTCTTCTCCTTTGATGTCAGTCTGCTTTTATTTCCATCTGAATTGGTGAGTCATTATCACTGCATTGATGTTGATGGAGGGCCAAAAATAAAGATTTCTGACCTCTTAATTTAGGAGCAGGACAGAAACAGGAGAGGAGTTACTGCCCAGGCTCTTGGTGAAGCACCATGTCCCTTACTTTTCCAGGTATAAGGAACCTGCCATCTTCAGGCTGTTCTGCTTCTCTAGAGTTCCCTTGTCTCAGGACAATATTATTAATCTCAAGCTTAGAAACCAAAGTTTTCTGAACAAGAAAAGAAGATTTGTTCAAATTTCCCATCAAACACTCTTTATGAGGACTCAGCCTATGTTTTGCGAGTTCAAGTGTGTTTAAACAGTATTACTTGCTAATAGGTCTGTTTCCAAATGGCACTGTGGAACCATATTTATAATCTCATTTTGCAACATTATAGTTTGTTTTTAAAAAGAATATTGAATCAATAAATGAAGATCAATAGGACAAATGAAACCCTTTCCAAAATAGAGAAGTGGGGCATGTTATTCCAATTTCTGAAGCGAACGAAAGTTTTTCTTTACTTCCTAGAGTGAATGTATTTAAAAGAGATTAATTGTGAGTATTAGCAAATGTGATATGTGAAGTTAGTTAGCCAGTCTAAGCTCTGAAATTTAAATTACTTCAAATCTAATAACTTTGCAATGCATTGCAAAAAAAAAAAGAGCATAAAAGCTGTTTTTGTAGCATGGAAAATCTTTTTCCTATCTTACAATTAAAAGAAATACACAGGTTGTAGTATTATTTTGAACAGTCATGCTAAAAAAATCACAATATGGCCAAGGACAAACACTGGATTATTGGTTTAGAAATGGAATATATGAAAGTAACTTTGATCTGTTCTAATCAGACATGTACCAATCAACGGTCATGCCTTTTTGCTTACCTGGTCATGTGTTCCTGTCAGACTTCTGCATACCCTGAAAGTGGCACTGGGTGCTTCTTTTCTGGTGTATTCTTTAATTTCAATGGAGAGGCCTTGAAATTGTCCTGAGCCAATAACAATACTAAAATTGGGATGACAAGGCTGGAAAGCACAATAAAAAACTTGCATGTACTCTGCAACATTCTGAAAAGATAGGAATATGATCTACAGTGAAGAGCAGCAGCAACAATGAAGAGCAGCAGCAACTAGTAGGCAACTTACTGGTTAGTTGATAACTTCCAAATCTTTCAGAAATATGGAAAAATTCTGACCTCCGCTGACTGAAGGGATATACAGATTCTCTTTTCCTCCTTTTCAAAGTAAGCTTGATAATGAGAGAAGGTCTCTACAGCTGTCTATTTCTATTGATAAAGATAAATATATATGAGTTTTCATTTAGTCATCAGTTGTAATTGTGTATTTAATAAAAAGTGTTCAAGCCCTAATCCTCCTTTCTAGGCCCAAATGCATATGTAATCCTCTTTTATGTTTCCCTTTGCCAAATTTATACCACACAAAGGTGTTCCTAAGTCAATCTGAATAAATTTTGAGTGTGTTTTATAAGATGTGATCTCAAATGTTTCTCTGTCTATATCAAAGAATGCAATCATACTCAGCAAGATTAATCCTTTTCACAATTTGGTCTACCGGCTGATTGGAATCTTTTTAACCTTCTTTCCTTCTGGGGAAAATTTGAGTGAGAGCATGAAAAGTCCTTCTTCATTCGTGTTCCCAAAAGAAAGATAGGGAGTTGGTTTCTTTCCTGGCTTCAGCTGAACTACAACTGTCACAGAAATTCAGTATGCAACAAAAGTGGCATTTGCTTGATTCTAACTTATGCTCCTGTATCTATGCTCAGCTTCAGCAGCTTAGAATAATTTGAAATGTCAGTGGGCTATAATGTCAAGATATGGCTGTATTTTTCTGTTGATTCAGGACTGTGAAACAAAAGGATGGCTGTACTATGACTTCGAATAGTGAGGCACTGTAATACTGCTGTTAACTACAGAACAGAAAAAAGATGCCAAAAAATTACTGGTGCTCTTTAAAGATAAACAAAGACAGAAGGAAAGGTATTTGTTTGACAATAATAATGGAAAATTGTTTCCTTTGCATGGAAGAGAGAATCTCTCTGGAAAATAGAAACAAATGGTTATTTGTGTTTCAGCTTGGAGTCAAGTCAACTTTTTGACAGAGTAAACACTGAAATCTTAATGTTCTTATTGTTCTTATCTTACTTGTTCACGTTATTTAGAATTAATGGCATTTTATTAACTAGCCAAAGTTGCCGAGTACTGCATTTCTTGATCAAAATTATTTGGCTGCTGAATCAAATTGGTGATTTTTAAGAGTTACACCAGAAATGTCTGCCCGGTAAGCACCTTCATTGTGTCTAGAGGTTCACCTACGGCTAAGCAGGAATTAAGGAAATGTCTAGAAAAAAGCAGGTGTATTTGTAGATTGAATAGATTAATTCTTTACTGCACTTAAGCTGAGCAACTTTCAGGGAAAAGGCAGAGTAATATCTAAGTGGAAATGTCAACCTTATCTTGTAATTGAAGTGTGATCTTTAGACCAGGTGCTGTGACTGATGACACCACAGCCAATTTATTTGTGCAAAAGCAGCTAACAGGAATTAAACTCCAATATTTATACTTCTCTAGAGAGCCTTCAGCTTCTACTTTCTAACTTCTGAAACTGTCTGTATTCAGATATTATGTACTATTTAGTAGACTTTTTTTTCTTATTTAGTGGAAATCTACGGAGACCATAGTCTTTGCCCAGAAGAACCGGGCTCAAAAGTCTATGTATTAGCTAGGCAAAGCAGACATAAAATGCTGAAATAGTCCAGTTATGTGTCTTTTACAGCATTTTGGAATGGCAACCAGCTACTTTAACTTTTAAGCAAGTATTATGCTAACTATTGTATATTATTGAAAAAGTTGTCTTTTAAAATTATTTTTAAATATTAGAGTATTTTAAAATATTTTGTTGAATATTTAGCCCCAAATGTGGTTCTTCTTCTGAAGAATTCTTCTTTACTATTAAAGACTTTGAGATATAAAGTGAACATCTTGATGTCTTACTTCATTGTTTACTCCATCTACCAAATTTTACTCAAGCACACCTCTTTCGAGGCAAAGAAAACCAAGTGATGATAGTGGCTTTTGATTAGCAGAGAGAACGGTTCATCAACAGGAAAAGAACTCACAAGCAGTGTCCCACAAACAGGGTTCATTTACCCGGTGTGCAAGCCAATAACACACAGAGTTGAGGTATTTTCAAATTAATTTCATTGATGAGCATGAATGGGTACCTGTCTCAAGACAGCACACCCTTGTCACAAATATTGTCACATTTATTCACTTAACTAAGACATATTCATTGTTATTTTCCTTAATGATTGGTTCTTTCTTCTTCGCCCCTCATGTAGATTAGTGTGCAACTGTCTTCTTCTTAATCATTGTCTTCTTTTGAGTAGGTGATATCATTTGAGTAGGTGGTCAATGAGTCGGTGGTCGTGATCTCCCCTTTTATCTACTTCTTACTCTGTCTTGGCAGTTCCAAGCGGTTCTTCAAGGTTTATTGACCAGACCACAATCCATGACCTTTTCTGACATAAACATAAAGCCCCATTGTCTAGTAGTTAGTTCTAGTTATTGTTTCCCTATTTTAAATATTAACTGATGGGGCCTGTACACAGGACTTTAGCAGCTCCCTGGTTATTTCAATCATATTATATATTAATTGATAACAATGCTATAACTTCAGCTTCTACTGCTAGAGATTTGTGTGCAGTGAGAATGGAAGAAAGCCCCTGGCCTTTCATATGCACAAGAAAATTGATACAGTTACCAATATAATTTGATCCACTTTACTGGATAAAATTTTTTGTACAGCATTATGTGAAAGTCAGCTATAGTGATCCATTCAGACAATGAATTTCTAAACAAGGAAAGCAGAAAAAACTCTACTCATTTTACTAATTAACTACAGTAAATTGTTCAACAAGATTAAAGCTGTGACTTGTGTCTTTTGCCTTTATACAAATGGATAAACAATTAGAAATAGTTTTTTACATTATAGGCTGTGGAAATTCATGTGTTTAAACTATCTACTCTTCTCATTTTCTTGTATGTTAGAAAATTCCACTTTTGTTCTCCCTGGTGAGCCTATTGGTTATCTACTTAGTAGTAGTAGACTTCATGTTATAGCATACATCGATTCTAGCTACTGGCTCAAATTACTTTTTCCAAGCGCACAGGGGATGAAGGGCTTCTGTCATCTATATTCAGGTTATATTTATGGGAACAAAACTTTGTGTGTTTGAAAGGGTAAATGGAAATGATGAGTCACGTCTGCATTACAGCAGACATGCTTCAGTTTTGTTGCACTACCTTGACAGTTCACTTGCTAGAGGGGATAATGTAACCAAATTAGAGCCCTCTGTCAAGTCTCTGTAGGGGTCCTTCTTGTCTTTCACAATGTGGAACATCAAGCCAAAAGGGAATTTTAGCACAAATCAGTTTTTATGGCCGCTGGTATTTTCTATTATGTGAGTTTCAGAGAAAGAAGCTAGGGGAATTCAAGCACACTGAATTTTCTAAGCTATCTGTTAGATGAGATGGAAATAGACAGATAACGGAGGAGGTTTTGAAGGTGGACTTTTATTTTTAATTTACGTTTCTTCAGGGACACATTATTCCTTGGGATGCAGGCTTACTTTACACTCATAGTCACATGATGGACTATAGAATGTCCACAATGAATCACTAGTTACTCTTTTTTTCAAAAACAACTGCATTGTCTGGGCAAGTCCAGTGAGATATTCTTTACATGACATGATAATGGAGTTGTCTGGCTTGCAGCATCCACACCAGAAAAAAATGAAATGTCATTTGAGGGTCACCATGAGTTCAAATGGAGAAGCAGATCCAAGACTAATCAGAAGCAGATTAAGTCCTTTTTGTGACATAAGTGTAAATAAACAAGAAATGAGTTTACAATACCTTTTTTCTTTTTCCTGTCTCTCTAACAGGAGTCATTTTTGGTCTTTATGCATACATTCCTAACCTAGTTTAGTTATGTTACAAAATCTTTTGAAGCATAAATATTTTTCAAGTTAAAAAGAATTAAGAACTACCGAGTTTTATAGAATTAAACTGAAGAACAAAGGATACAGCAGTTCAGAAAAGAAAAGATTTTACCAGATAATCTCAAATAGATCAACCTTGACCTTTAAAAAAACCTCAGCAAAAAACATTCCTCAAACAGCCCTGATGTTTTTGTTAGTATTTCTGCACAAGTAACCTCAGTGATGATTCAGGCAAGTATTCAAATATGACATTGATATTTCTTTCCTGTTAATTAAAAAAACCCAAAACACCCCCCCCCCCCAACCCCCCCCCCCCCCCCCCCCCAGCAGTAAATCTCCCCCTCAAAGCTGGAAATAGAACATTTCTCCTTCTTCTTTATGTCTTTCAAAAGCCTACTTTTAAGTATAAGCTTGGGAGAAGTAGGGAGTGAGTTTTGGCAATTCCTCCAGCCCAAATGATATATTCAATAATTCATTAGTAATGTCAGGTAAGCAAAATCTGTAACAGATTTTTTTCAAACTGGCAGTACTTTGGGTGTGGAGTAGAGGTGAGGTAGGGAACTTACATTCAGAATACAAAAGGACTTAATGCTTCTCAGCTGCCAAAACATAGAGTGAATTTCCCCTTTAGGTAGTTTGATACTGCTTTGTGTCAGTGTTGCAACTACAGGCAACTGGATTGGATGGGATAGTATTGGGTAGGTGCCCATCTATGAAAGGGGTTATTAAATTCAAGATTTTTTTATTTAAGCAGATTACCTGTAACACTAATAGTTAAACATATGGGGATTATAAAGCAGTGAAAATGTGCCTTCAGATTAATATAAAACATATTGCTACCTGCAAGTCAAAATGTACACTGATGACTTTGGATCTGGGTGTGAAATGTGATCCACTGATTTTCAGAGTTTTGGGCCTGATTTATGGCGTGGAATCTTATGAAAATTGTTTTGGCAAAATACAGATTCTAATAATGGGTCAAGTTCCAAATCATGTCTGGTGACTGCTAGTGGGGATGGTTGCTGTAGTGCTGCCCATGTAATTCCAACCGATACGCCTGCAGGGTAAAAGAGCACTATTATCTCCATTTCTCACATAGGGAAGTTTAGGTACTGACAGGTTAGTGTTACTCCAAGTGATATGGCACAACAGATAGCAAGATGTCATGGTTTAACCCCAGCCAGCAACTAAGCACCATGCAGCCGCTCACTCACTCCCCCCCACCCAGTGGGATGGGGGAGAAAATCAGGAAAAGAAGTAAAACTCCTGGGTTGAGATAAGAACGGTTTAATAGAACAGAAAAGAAGAGACTAATACTGATAATGATAACACTAATAAAATGACAACAGTAGTAATAAAAGGATTGGAATGTACAAATGATGCGCAGGGCAATTGCTCACCACCCGCCGACCGACACGCAGCCAGTCCCCAAGCGGCGAATCCCTGTCCCCCCCCCCACTTCCCAGTTCCTAAACTAGATGGGACGTCACATGGTATGGAATACACTGTTGGCCAGTTTGGGTCAGGTGCCCTGGCTGGGCATGAGAAACTGAAAAATCCTTGACTCTAGTCTAAACACTACTGAGCAACAACTGAAAACATCAGTGTTATCAACATTCTTCACATACTGAACTCAAAACATAGCACTGTACCAGCTACTAGGAAGACAGCTAACTACATCCCAGCTGAAACCAGGACAACTGGGCATGACGTCCCATGGTATGGAATACCCCATTGGCCTCTTTGGGTCAGCTGCCCTGGCTGTGTCCCCTCCCAACTTCTTGTGCCCCTCCAGCCTTCTTGCTGGCTGGGCATCAGAAGCTGAGAAATCCTTGACTTTAGACTAAACACTACTTAGCAACAACTGAAAACATCAGTGCTATCAACATTCTTCTCATACCTAACTCAAAAACATAGCACTATACCAGCTACTAGGAAGACAATTAACTCTATTCTAGCTGAAACCAGGACACAGAACAAAGGATAACATCTGCTCACTTGGTTTGCTGATTCTCTCAATTTTTTTTTCTAGTGTCCTGGGTTCAGCTGGGATAGAGTTAATATTCATTTCTGCTGTGATCCACCAGTAAAACCCTACCGTGGAAGAAGGCTCAGAGGAGATGGGCAAGCACAATGTGCCCATGAAGCTCAGGGAATAATGCAGGGTGTGACTGACCACAGCTGTTGTAAAGCAGCTGACTTTATGCCAACACAGAAGGGAACGGAGGGTTGCCTTTGTTTTGACGGCTATGACAGTTTCTTACATCTGTATTGTGTTATGCAATATATTTTTTGTATCACTCTGCTAAATCAGAAATCCTGTGTAACATCAACTATCTATGAACAAGGATATTAAACATTACACCCTCGACAGCTAGAACTATCTAAAAGAACCTAGTCAGAGAGTATTGGACTCTGAAATCTGTTTATAACA